GACCATTTGCGCAGACTGAAAAAGTCCGCAGTGGCCAATTGGCGCATAACTCCGAAATTATTGATTGTTGTACATGTTCAAAGTTCATTGTTTGCAATGTTAAGGCCGTAAAGAAGATTGCCGAAAAGCATGCTTTGCCTGACAAATTGACTTTTTAATGCGACTGAGTTGAATGCATTGGGGGAGCTGAGCAAACTCACACAGGTTAGCTAGTTTACAGCTAGATCGATGCTTTTTGTCAAATTCTGAATGCGAAATCGATATTGGTTGCAGCCAGGATGTGCACTAATCACAAGGCAGTTCAAGAGCTGAGCCTTCACAGACTCCACCAATGTACGTGTAGCCGGAACCTCGTAGGTTGGAGCACGGCCAACCAGGAGCAAACCATTCTGTCAGTGACCTTGAAAGTTCGCGTGCCACGCAACTGTGGCGGGATCTGCGGGACTCGACGCGGACAGAACATGGTGAACACAGTGAAGTTAATAATGCATAGTTAACAAAAGTCAGGGAAGATGTAACTCCGTTCCTTCTGTCTTCATAGGCCTTCACATTGCGGGCGGGTTAGCGAGTCTGGACTAGAGCTGTTTTATCTATGACCACGGCTCTGTAAGCCTACCTATCGATTGCATTTATTCACCTCACGTCCGTTGACAAATACTATTAGCTCATTTGTTGCAAACTTGGTTCCATTTAATTTAAATGAACATTCTATGTAATCCGCAATTAACATTCTATCATACTTTGTCATATGAGTGAATTTATAGAATAGCCGTTGAGGAGTTAAAGCCACCTGCTGTCGCATTGGCATGCCATTTTTTTGGAATTTAGAAAGTTCGTAGATCCCTGCAATGTACGTTTTAGGAAAATATGTGGATTAATATTTCATCCCTAAGTAGTTTTTTGTCCCGAAATCTTTCCTGTTTTCGTAGTATATCAATCTTGCCAACTTTAGGACTTTGCGCCCACAAATGCAGAGCTTTGGCCGTAGCAACGAATTACCAGGGTACGGAAATTGGTTAATTAAGCAGAGAAAAAAACTGAAATTCAGCATTTATCAGCGGTATCTCATGGAAAGAAGTTTGCATTTGTAGTGTATGATGGGTCGCACTTAGTAGCTCGAAAGTGCCGATGTTTAACCAGAGACCTCTGGGAGCGAAAACACGTTCCATTTAACGGTATGGCTCGTTTCGCATTCTGCTACCGGGGAACCCACGACGAAATCTAAGTAGCCGAATGAAACAAGTAGGCACGATTTACGAACGACTGCGTGGGGCCGCATATTACAGCCTCAAGAAGAGTATATACCTGCCTATAAGACAGGGCGAAACGTGAAGGCTTGCAATGGAACAGTGGTTCTCGGAACGTGTTAACCAATCACTGCGTTTAAAATGCGAGAATGATGTTATGCTCACTGTTTTACCGACATACTGCAGCATTCTGCAAACCCTGTCTTCCCCTCATCATCTGTCAATAACGTGCACACCACTGTATTGGAACGCCGAATTATGAGCACACTTGAAGCTTCAGGATGTAACAGAAAACACAAGAAATAGAACTAGAGAATTTTTATTTAGTTAAGACATTCAAAGCATAGCGTCGCACGCTGGA